GATGACAACATCAATTAGATGATCTCACTTCAGGATTTCCCAAGTTTTTCAAAGAAACCGAGCTCCAGTGTATAATTTAGATAAGGTGAAGCTGCTGTGAATGAAACCAATTCCCCTCAAAATGCTACTTTACTATCATTCTCAACAGAGGCCCCCAAGACACTCCTTATGTAGAAAACAACTTTGTACTGTAGTGTTTTTGCCCAAATAGCTTTGCCTTTTCCAGAATGTCATACGCATGGAATCATACAGCATGCAGCCTTTTGAGTCTGGCTTCTTTCGCTGACACGATGCTTTGAAGATTCATCCCTCATGTTCTGTCTATCAGTGGTTCAGTGGTTCGTTCCTCTATTCTCAATTATATTCCATCATGTGGGTGCTATCACTTCCATATCTACCCATTTATTAATGGACACTTGAGTTGTTTCCTCATGAGTTTCAAATACTCACGAAATATTCGAGGGAAATTGAGAACTACATCTCCTGGGCTTTAAAATTGGCTTGGGTTTTCAGTAAGCAGGACAAGGACAGAGGACATTATCCCCAACGACCACTGCCCTCAAATAATGAGGATTGTAGAGAGGTCAGTCTAACTGCTTCACTAAAAGCAGCAGCCTGACTTTGTACATAGTCAGAGACAGATGATACAAGCCATTCCAGCTCCTCCTGTATCCCGTGCCCACCCACTCTGGGGTAAGTCCGTGTCACTGCACACACACACAGACACAGATGAATTCCCAGACAATTGTGTAAGAGCACCAGTGTAACAGATAGGCAGGTGTCACAAAGCACGGGAGCCCCCAAGAGCAGCTTTAGACACAGATGAATTCCCAGACAATTGTGTAAGAGCACCAGTGTAACAGGCAGGTGTCACAAAGCACGGGTGCCCCCACCAGAGCAGCTTTATCATATTTCACAGTGTGCCAGGCCGCCCCTTCCCAGTCCCTTTTCCATGCAGGGGCATGAAATTGATATGTGTGCCGGAGAGGCCAGGCAGACCACATCCAAAACTGCGTATGCAGGGTGTGCCTTCATCCTGCTGCCTGAAAGCAGCCTCCTGGCAACCTAGAAACAATGGGAAACAATTTCAGTTTGGGGATATCCCCTTTCCTGCTGGTGCCCCTGGTCTAGGGTTTGGCAGCCGCCAGGAAATAGAGATCATATAGCCTATGAACTCTGCCCCTGGGGTGGTGAAACACGTGTAGTCACAAGAAATGGGCAAGAAAACATGTGTCCCAAAACCTCATTCTTTGCGTTGGCACTGGAAAGGAGAATCTGCCGGCGGAGAAGCTGAGCCTGGAGTTGGGAATTCACCTGCCCCCCAGGATGTCTTGTTGCCTATCCCTGCTGTTATTGTAGTGGCCTTTTCTCATGCCAGTCTGGTTCTAGGTGGGCAGACAACCCTCCAAACACCCTATACAGACCAGACTCAGCACAGCGAAGCAACATGGAGCTGTCAGCTCTGCACTGTGCTGGACAGTTTCCTGTGTCACCCAAGGACTCTCCCAGAAGCCATCGTAACCACACCCCCAGGAGGATGTAAAGAGATTCTATCCCTCTCAGGATCTACATTGAGTAGCTCACTGAGCTTGGTCTCCCAAATTGCTGAATTAAGCAGCCTCCATAGTCCAAGTTCTTGTCTAAGAATTTGCCTCTTTCTTGAATTCAGTAATCAAGGCTGCATTGGTTGTGGGAGACCTGATTTCTGGCTTCCAAGGACAAGGCTACATTGTAGCACTCCTTGAAGAAAACCAAAGACTAACTCATGTGGTGCAGTAGGCCATGGTGTGAAGTCAGCACAGCATGGAGGTTGTCTGAGTCTTTGGGATTAGGCTGCTCAGTCCTCCCACCTCTACACTGTGACATCATGCACAACTCACTCCAACACTTTAAGCCTTAGTTTCCATGTCTATAAAATGGGGTAATAATGCCTACCTCATTGGACTGCAGTGAGTAATAAATGTGTAAATGAAGCACATATCTTAGTGTCTGAAATATCGTAAGTACTCGATAACTAAAACATGTTGTTCTCGTTGATAAATCCCCTCCTGGGGAAATGTTGCTGGTTGGACATGAAACTCCCATCAATCAGGCTGCCCTTAGCTGTCCAACCCCCTCTCATTTCAGGCTGGGTCCTGAGGCTCTGCATCTGGACTCTGAAGAGGGCCTAAAGGGTAATGAAGGGGCATCATGTTCCCAAAGGCAGGAGTAGTGTGTAGGGTGGGCCATACCTGGCAGCATATGGACAGAGGAGGGTTTTCTTCAAACTGGCCAGACTGCCTCACTGGGAAATCAATCCCAGGAGCTAGCAAAGAGGACAACAGAGAAAGCTAAAAGCAGAACAAGACACCACAACGGAAAGAGGAAGCAGCAGCCGGGAGGAAGAACTCTGACACCTTCCCATGACCGCCTCAGTACATTTAGCTGCAGGGCTGCACAGGTCCCACACAGCCTGCCCTGCTGCTCCGCCCTGGGCGGCAGCTCGCTTCTTCAACTCCCCTTCGCCAGCCCAGGAGCTGCCTGCCTCAGTATCTTCCGTCATTCTCTTCTCACTACAAATATTTACACCAACAGCACTTAGCATGCTTTCTTTCTCACATTTTTATTGGTATTACTATATGTTTGCGGTACATAATGGTTACATTCGTTGTGGGGAGTTAGTGTACGTACATAACACATTGTAATTCTTTTCATATCCCTTTTTCCTCCCCTCCCTCACCTCTCTCTCCATCGTTTTGTACCCTTCTTTTTTGCAAAAGACACTGTTTTGTTTTATTTATTGATTTCATTCGTAGCTGTTGGAGGTACACGCAGTTTATAATCATCTTGGGGAGTAGGTACATGTGCACAGCACGGCTTGGTTCTTTTTTTAACCCCTTTCCCCTTCCCTCCTCTCCCTCTCCCTCTTCTTCCTCTGTTCTCATTTACATTCTTGTTGATATCATTACTCTTAGCTCATTTTGTGGCATTTAATATTTACACCCACTGAAGTTATTAGGTTCCCGTACATGACATACCTTTATTCTACTTATTCCCCTTTCCCTTCCTAACCCGTCACCCTTGTTCCCTTTTACCACTTCTCTATTGCAAGAGATCCATCTCCGCATGCAAAGGGCACTTTTTTTTTTTCAGCTTTAATTGAGTTTATTGGTACATTTTAGGGATACAGCGCAGTTACATTCATTGTTGGGATCATGTACCTCTACATGACAAGTCTTGATTCTCATTTTTTTCCCTTACCTCTGCCCTCCCTTCATCCCCTTCTCCCCTCCCCATCTACAAACACATTATTGTCATCTTTTCATTCTCTCACATTTTTTTCTTTTCCCTAATTACCCTTCCCCTACCCATCCCACCTTCCCTACAACTTTAGCTCCTTTCTTCCCATTTCTAAATGTCAGTAATCTTATTAGAATCTTATGCATTGTTGCAGATTATTCACACCAGGGAAACTATTCGGTATTTACACATGTGTGACTTATTTATTTCACTTTTAATTACATACTTATTTGAAAATTTGTTCCCTCCATCTGTCACTTATCTATCTCAAGTTCTATGTCTATCACTATACACTCAGAATCTAGCAGAGCTGTCAATTTGTTGACTGATAGAAAATGAATAAATTAATGAATTCCAGAGTGCTCTATTAGGTTGTACCATAAGAAATTGCTCTTCGTCAACCATTCTTAACCTACATAAACAGTAACTTTGTGTTTTGACCTGATAATGACCATTAGGGCTTTAACTTTCATTTACCTATACTACAATTAGAAAGGGCATAGGAAACCATTAGGTACCTGTGGGCTCACCTGGTTGCCTGGGATATTATGGCCTTCAGTGGTCACCTATAAAGTACAAGTCACTGTCCCTGGTTTATACATGGAGAAAACAAGCAGATTATTTAAGTGCCCTACTCAGCTCAGTTTTGTTCATGACTTAGATTATAGACACATCTATTTATATATACTTGCAAATTTTTTTCATACTTGCAATTTTTAAAGCCCATATTAAGGAGTTAAAAAAATAAATAAAATAACCTCAGTAAATTGGCTTAAGGTTAGAGAGAAATATAAAGGAGAGGATAAAACAATCCAAGGGAATGTATATTGTTAGATTTAAAATAACAGTTAATAAAATGCTTTCATTGTTTTTGAACTTAGTGGCAAGTAGAGTGTTTATTGATTTAATCTTTTATACTCACCATTAACTTAATAAAATTGCCTTTTAAATGAGCTCTAGTGCTTTCAGCTCACAATTTTTGAGGTCAATAAAAGGCATTTTAAAAATTCTTTTTATTGCTTTGCAAATTCTGAATTAAGCATTTCTCTAAACTTGAACAAGACCCCTCTGCAGATTGATACATTTCTAGAAGTACACTTTTGCTTTCACACGTTGCCATCTGCTATAATTAAAATTGTATCCCAGATCAGTAGGCACAGTCCTCAGTCATTAGTCAGAAAGTTATGGTTAATAGCAAAGCTTTGTGTGAATAGCAGCTGCATGACTGTTAAATTTTGACAGTTATTCTTCTAACTTTTACTGTGATAGTCTCTGGTATAAGTTATGCAGTTTTAGTCAATGGTGTTGAAAATTGTGACATACAGAATTTCAGCAGATGTAATGATTCACTAGATAATTTAACATTAGCATCATTTGGACTTTATTTAGAGCCATGGGTTTCTACACTTTCCAGCCCTAAACTGCTAAACTATCAATAGCTCTGCATTCAGTTCTGAAAAAAAGTTGCATATATTTGCTTCTAGAATCTTCTTTAAGAGCTCAGCTGAGCTCCTACTCAGCTGAGCAGCTACTTCTCCTGAAAACTTTAGATTTGAGGTTATTGTACAAGTTCAACAAGTGGCATTATTACCACATAAAAAACTTTATTAGCAATTTTACAATCTTATGACTTTCTTAATACTAAAAATTCCTTAATACTGACATTCCTATAAACAATGGCAAAGGGAAAAAAAGGCCATCACTCCTGTAGCCCACTAAGTGCAAACACATTTTCCATGTGTTGCTCATTGTCCTGTTCCTATTAATGTCTGTAAGACTCAGTGGATTTTCTTCCACCTGGGGGTGAAGGGACAACATTTTAGAAAGGAGAACATTCTTTATTTTCTTGGGCACTAATGTAACTTCCAGAGTATATCAGTTTTCTGAAGTTATTAATGCATCGGTGTTTTCTCTCCATGGTCAGAAGAGATGCATTTGAGGGACAAATTTCATTTCATTTTGGATGCAGGAAAATGGCTTTGAAATGGTGTTTTGTGAGATGAAATCTTTGGATGACGACAGGGTTTAACTGTACTCCTAGACGTTAAGCCTGTAAAGTCAGCCTTGGTTTGTGTTGGTCCCACAGTTCCACCAGTGCAGGGTCAGAAGTGCCTTCCAAGGACAGAGAATCTAGAAAGAAATAGAGTGAGAACAGGAAGACAGGCGATTCCTTTTCTGCTATCCTTCTGAAAGAGAAGAAAATGAAAGCATGAAATAGTCTATTAATAAAAGCAACAGGGCAAAAGATACAAAAAAGAAGATGAGAAACAAAAATAGACATCAGGCCCATATGTCCCTGTGGCCAGGCAGAGGAAAGGGAGCTAATCATAAAGGCATGTGTGAAAGCCAGTGTGTCACAGTTTCACATACCCTATGCTGGGTGGGGAGAGGAAGTGTTTGTAGCACAGCAAAGGCAGAGCCACAAAACAGCACACAGACACCCTCAACACAGGCCTAAGAGCAGCTGACCAGTAATGTGGGTAGCAACTGACAGTTCCAACCACAAACATCAGCAGCAACATCAAAACTTCTTTTAAATAACACTCAGTTGCTCTGTCTGTGAAAATGAAAAGCAGCTCACACTGTTTCACAAACCACAGACTTGTTACGGTTATCTACGTTCAGGCCCCACTCCATACCAACAGCTCTTCATGGACCTCCAGGAAAGATCCACAGGGGAAGGGCTGTTTCTTCATGCACTTGAAGATTATAGGTTTGTGAGTCTAACTTGTGGCTATGGGTCCCTCTGTGTTCCCTTAATCTCAGACCTTATGGCAGAGTATACTAGTCAGCTTTTCCTTAGTAAGACAAAATACCTGAGATAGTTAACTTAGAAAGAGGAAAAGGTTACTTAACTCAGTTTTGGAGACTTCAGTCCATGGTTGAATGGCTCCATTGCTTTGGGCATCTGGTGGGAGTACCAGGTGGCCAAGGCAAGGAGTGTGGACTATAGTGAAATCACTTACATCACAAGCCAGGGAGCAAAGACAAGAAGTGACCAGAGTCTCACAATCAGGCACAGGCCCACTCACCACCCAACAGCCTCTCACAGGGCCCATTTCCTATTGGTTTTGTCACTTCTCAAAAGCACCACTCAAGGTCCAGTGCTGACCTTTGGGGAACACTTATCCAAACCACAGCGCAGGCTTCATAATCCAAGATTAAGGCAGGTGTAATTTCTCCTGTCACCTCCACTTTAGAGGCTGTACAGCCTTGTGTAGACAACTCACCTTCTGTCACACTCCCAAGAGCTCATTGGCTAAGAATCTGAGCTACAGACAGAATATTGGTTCAATTGTTTTCTGATGATCAGGAATGAAGGTAATTACTTAAACCTTTGTGTCACTCCATTTCTTCTTCTGTAATGTGTGGATGGTAATAGAAGTCAATGTGGGCTGTCCCAAAGATTAAATGAGGCCTGATTAAACATACTTAGAGTATTATCTGGATCATGGTAGCTCCCATTACTACACATAGCTATTTCCATTGACTGATACTGCTGGGAACCCAACCTAATCTATTCTTCAGTTACATTAGACGTTAGAGTAAAATTCTTCTGAATGCCTTTATTTCCTAACTCCTTACCACCATCTTCTTTTGTATCTGTCTAAAACACAATTTTCCTGACCCTTCTTGAGGTTGTGGTTGCCTCACTTAATAGACACCAGTATCATCTCTGTCACCACTATGTCTACAACCATCCTTCACCCACAACCAACATTTGCCTCTCCTCTACTCTCCCCACTGCCAACAACAACAACCTCCAACCTACTCCCATCCCACCATCAACACCAGCAAAGGCAACAACAATTTTCCCCATCATTTTTACCTCCACAGCCAATTATTGACTTAAACATTTTAAATCCCTAAGTTCTGCTGAGCTTCTTCTATTTGTATTTTTGAGGGCACTGCTATATTTTTCAACCATCTCCAAATGTTTTTGAAGCAAGGTAATACATAAACATAGATATACAACTAGCCATTACCAATATGAAAGCATGAAAATCATCTAAATTGGTCTATAAATCTAAGTGATTTCATTAATAGCAAACAAGTAAATAATGTGGTGTATTGCTAAAAATAAAAATTCATGAGGCTTAGCCTGTTTCTATTTTTGTTAACTATGTGTGTATCATTTCATGCAGGCTTCTTAAGTTCTAGGAGACTCCAACACGTCTCTAAAATGAAGATAAAAATTTGGCAATAATCAGGATTAAGATGGAACAGGATGACAAACATGAAGATATATTCATAAAAATCTAGCTTGTGGTGCAAGTGTCAAGCTGGACTCATTTAACCAATGTCCTCAAAGGCCTTTGCTGCAATGAGCATTGCCTTATCCCATTTTTTTGCTAAAGTGTATTCCAAAGTAACCAAAGACCCTCAGGGGACCACAGACACCTGGTTCACAAACCTGCTTTCTGATGAGAATGAAGCCCTCTTCCTTCTGCAAAGAGTAGTAAAGAAGTAGTAAAGAGGAGAAGTCAGGGATTTCTTTATGTTCAACAAATACAATTCACTTCTTTGTCCTCCTTGGCATGACACTACTTATTTCCAGCCACCTGGCCCCCTTTTTTGCATAAATGCCACAGCCGATCTGAGAGTTGAATGCAATATTTAAATCTATCTCCATCCACTGAAGAAAATACTCATCCAGAAATAAACTTCTCCAGAAATATTAATTGTCCCTCCACATTATCCTAAATGGGAGACACAAATGAAAAAAATTTTAATAACAAATTTCTATTTCATGTCACTTGAAAAACAATGAAGCTTATTTCCTCACCATTTATGCACAATGCTCCTTTTAGGAGTGGCCAGGAAAGCTGGCTGAGACCCTCTCTGTGCTCTTTCTAACCCCAGGTCATTCTATAGATGTCTTTGACTCTGGCCATGTACCGGGCTCCACATGAGACAAAAACTGTGGCATAACCTTATGACTCCAAACCTTGATTCTAACTACTCACCCCTGTCACATTTTTAAATGCTAAGCTACCTTCTTGATATTGGTCTTCACAGCTATTGTCCTTACTATTACTTTGCTACTTCCAGCCTTTGTTCCTTAGACTCAATACTCGATACTTTCATTCTGTACTTCATCCCCTCAGCCCTACCTCAAGACCATCTATACTTTTCTCCAAGCTCTTTTGTTTGAACTTGAGCAACTCCTCAGGTTTACTCCACTTCTGGGGTATCCTCCCATGTCACCATTCTTTTTCAGGTGGTACCTCTGCTGGGTTCACTTACATTACCTTGCATCAATTTACTGCACTTTCTACTCGATCACTGATTCCTGAAACTTCTTGGGTGGGGAACAAATTTACCAAATGTGTGGTCCCAGTGACTCAGTAAGATTGCCAGAAAATGGAAATTTCTGGCTGCTGAGGAATCGCAAGCTGCATGAGCACACTGCTTGTCTATTTCTTTAGGAGAAACCTGTATGCATTAAATAGATTCATGCTGCATCTGTAACAAGGGTTCTTTTGTAGTGAAGATGAAATTACTTTTCCTTTGTCTGGTGGTAATTGTAAATGTGGACTTCCCAGAAGATTAGGTTTGCACAGAGACATGTAAAACAGTTTAATATGTTCACCATGGGAAAGACTGTGGGAAGAAATATGTGTGACTGCTCCAATCTCTTCATCCCCGCTTAAGGGTCCCAGGCTTAGTCCCAGTTGGGAACTTGATATGAGACTGCCTCTGCTAGTCAGCTTTCCGTTACTGTAATAACTATCTAAGATCATCCATTTACAAAGAGAAAGAATTTATTTAGGCCCACAGTGTTAGAGGTTTCAATCTATGATGGTTGGCTCCATGGCATTGAGCAAGGCAGCACAACATGGTAGGAGCATATGGTGGGGTTAAAGTATTCATTTCATGGCTGGCAAATGAAAGAGAAAGAAGACTCTAAGGACAACATATCCTTTTCCAGAAAATACCCCCAAAGACCTAAAAACCTTCCACTGTGCCCTACCTCTTAAAGGTTCGACAGCCTCTCAAAGGCAGCAAACTGAAGACCAAGGCTTTAACATATGGACTTGTGGAGGACACTCCAGGTTCAAATATAGCAGATGAAGAGCTGGAATGAGATCCTAGCTAAGAATCTAAGGGCAAGGGGGTTGACAGATCCCAAAACCAAGGACCAAGAGACAAACAATATCAAAGGCAAAAAGCAAAGTCTGTCTGAGAGACAAAAATTTGGGACCAAAAATTGGGAAATTAAGATCCAATGACATCTATTTGCCAAGCATAAGTAAATAAGAGGTTGAGATGAGGTAGGACTAAAGGAGAAGTCCAGAACAACTACCATGAGCAGCAGTTGGAGCACTGGTCCCAGATCCATCAGGTTTATCACACTTCTTAATTCATTCATGTATTTAGATACTCTCCAGAAAGCCATCAGGGAGCATCCATCTGGAATGGTACAAATCACCGCAGAACATTCTACAATTGATTTTACCTTCCATTTCCTGATCACCAGTCATATCTCATCTCTTTAATTCTGATAAATTAAAAAAGAAGATGAGTATACATTAGCGATTGGTTTGAATCAGTGAAAAAAATTGAAGAATAGTTAATTTAGTAGTGCATTTAATGGTGAATTCTTTATTGTTGTTTAAAGTCATAAGCTGGATGAACATTGGGAAAAACATGAACATAGCAGTATAGGCTCAAAGTCAGAATGGCAGGAGGAAAGAAAAGATTATAATAAGTGGCTTTAAGATCTCCTGTTTTCTGAAATCCTGGATTGTAATTGAAGGTAAAAACACACAAGTATTTGTGCCTACAAATGTCTAGGAGACTAGTTAGTCTTGTTATATAGCACCTGTGGCTAAAAGTGAGGAACTAATCCTGATTCTACCAAGGAAGTACCTTCTCCTGGAACTCTACAAATTGTTATTGTCTGTAAAATATAAGCTTTCTTCCTTACAGTATCCAAGATAGGACAGACAGGCATTTGGGATGTGGTAGTTTGTAGAGAGACTTAAACAAGAGTAGTTACACTTAATGACCTTAGACACTCAAGTCATGGGAAATAACATAAATCACTATTACCCTTGTTGAGGAATTTGAAAGCAGAAACCTGATAACCTCGATTTCATTACTCATTTGTTTAGCAAATTCTTCTTATAGAGCTCATCCTTGGTCACAATTACCATTGTTTCAACATTGTGGCATTTTAATTCATGAGAATTCTAATACATCACCAAATAATCTGTCACCCAATTTACAGCCAGCACTCACTCCCAACAAAACAAAACAAACAATAAAAACAAAACAAAAAAAAAACGTGGAGGAGACAAGCTTTTACTTTATACTATATATTAGCTAGAATTAAATTATAACCTCAATTTATAGCTGCTCAAAAAATGGTGTCATTTGGGGATGATCCCTTTATTTCTCAAGGACTGAAATGAGCCTCGTAGTTAGAGAATGTTGATTGAATTGTCTAAGGCATGGACATAGCCTCATCCTAACGTCAGCCGCACTCCACTCACAGGCATCCCAGGAAGCAGACCTGATTAGTTGGCTGATTATTTCTGGACATCTTCCTCTAATGCTGACTTCAACAGGATCAATATTTACTCAATAGCAAGTGGGTGTTACATTAGGAAACTGAGAAAAAGTAACCCAGAGCAAACATGCAACTCAATCAAGAAGCTGTGAAATTCCCTGCTTGAGGTTATTATCTTTCCCTTCAGGCAAAGGCAGGAATATTCCATTCCCACTTGAATGCCAGATGCATGGAGACCCTGAGGACACCTCTACTGCAGCCATGGTAGGGATACAGGCAGATGTGAAACCCAGGTGATTGTCAGGGAGTAGGGTCTCTTCAGCACCCCAGGAAAGCAGGCACAGAGGAAAATTCTGCTCCACCACAGAGTCTAAGGCTCACCACGTGCAAGGCCACCCCAGCTCCCTCCAGCGTGGCCCTGGCTTCTGATATTATGTTCTCTATGAGCACCGTGTACCAAGGTGAAGGTAGCCAAGGATTGTGTGTTTATTTCATGGTCAGCCAGGCTGAGGGCAGGGAATCCCAAAGAGAGAAGTTGGTGAAACAAGTCTGTTTCAACTGTGTAAACCCAACCTCATTGCCTCACAAAGTCAAAGGATGAAATCACAGAAAGAAAAAAAAAGGAGAAAGTTAGGAAAGGAGAGTGTTTATTGGAGGTAAGAAGAAAAATAGCACCTGCTGGCAGGAGGTGTCCTAAGTGGTTCACCACCTGGTCCCTCTGTCCAGAACTTTATATGGCTAAGTGGAGCACAGGAATTGTTCAGTTGTTTAGTGGCCACCTATCACGGACAGCTCTGTGGGTTTAAAATGACCAAAGGTGGAATCTCAGTGTTGTTTTCATCTGTATCTCTCGAATGACCAGTGATGTGGAACATTTTTTCATATATTTACTTGCTGCTTTTACTTCTTTTTTTTTCTTTTTATTGAGGTTATTGGTTCAATCTAGGTATACAATACAATTACATTCATCATTGGGATTCTGTACCTTTACATAATAGGTCTTGATTCTCATTTTTCCCCTTGTCCCTGCCCTCCCTTCACCCCCTCCTCCCCTCCCCATTTACAAACACTTTATTTCCATTTGTTCAGTTTCTCATATTTTTTTCCTCTCCCTTATTACCTTTCCCCCACCCTTCCCACTTTTCCTACACCTTTAGCCCTTTACTTCCTATTTCACATTATTAATTATCTCATTAGGATCCTGTGTACTTTGTCTGAGAAATGTCTGTTCATTTCAAATGAATCAGGTCCTTATATTTGGGGGGATTGATTGTTTTGAGTTCTTTATATAGTCTACCTCAACCCGCAAAGAATGACTGATATCAAGAAATCACTCAGTAACAAATGTTGGCGGGATGTGGGGAGAAAAGAACCCTTTTCCATTGTTGGTGGGAGTGCAGACTGGTGCAACCACTGTGTAAATCAATATGGAGATACCTCAAAGAACTGGAACTAGAGGTTCCATTTGACCCAGCCATTCCTCTGCTGGGTATCTTTCCAAAAGAATTAAAAGAATCATATCACAATGATATATGCACACCTATGTTTATAGTGGCACAGTTTGTAATAGCTAAAACTTGGAAACAGCCCATTTGCCCATCAGTTGGAAACTGGATAAAGAAGATGTGGTTTTTCTATGACATGGAATACTACTCAGCCATAAAGAATGAGAAATTAGATTCATTCATAGGAAAATGGATACATATTGAGAATATACTCCTAAGTGAAATAAATAAGTCACACATGTGTAGATACTGAATAGTTTCTCTGGTGTGAATAAACTATAATAGTACATAAGATCCAAATGAGATAATTGACAATGTGAAATAGGAAGAAAAGGGCTAAAGGTGTAGGGAAAGTGGCAAAGGTAATAAGGGAAAGGAAAAAGGTAGGGGAAAAATGGAAATAAAATGTTTGTAAATGGGGAGGGGAGGAGGGGGTGAAGGGAGGGCAGGGACAAGGGGAAAAAATGAGAACCAAGACCTGTCATGTAGAGGTACAAGATCCCAATAATGAATGTAACTGTACTGTATACCTAAAATGAACCAATAAACTCAATAAGGGGGAAAAAAATGACCAAAGGGAACTGGAGCTCTCCAACCCAGATACTTCACACATAGACCTTAAAGGAAACCAAGATTTTAAAGAAAATCCAACTGTTGTATTCTGCATTTCAAGTTCCAG